TTTACAGTTTACTGCCAATCAGACTTATAACTGTTTCAAACAAGACTGCAATCACTTCATGGCAGCGTGTCACAGGAATGGATTAGGAGACACATCTTGGCACAAATAAAGTGTCATTTAATATACCAAGCCATCACAAGCGGCAGAGGCAAACAGCTCAGCAAGCTGCAATCACTTGTTAATGATAAATTAGTGGCAGAGGCAAGACAGTAGTCAAGGTCTCTGGAGCCTCACTTTTTGCCCTTGATCACTTTCTCCATCCTGCATATGTAAATTTTGGCCCTGGCCATGCAGTATTTCTTTCCAGTGAACAAACAACATTTGGTTCACTTTGGACAACAAACTTTCTTATACTTAATCAACCAGTTTATTAGAGCATGAAAGAAAATTGGTCTTGACTTAGTTCCTGTACTGCTAGAATTAACAAGCTGGCTGATGCCAACACTAAACTTGGAAGTGCTAATGGTAATTAAAATCTATTTTCAAATACATCTGACAGNAAAAAAAAAAAAAAGTGCTACTTTCTTCAGGAAGATGTCAGCTGTGGAAAAGATATAATTATCAATGAATTATTAATTCTCTGTGATATAGCACTCGTTCCCTTTTAGTCAGTTTATGGCTATATGTGTCCTCTAAACTGTTTGGTTATGGGAAACTTGAAGCTAGAATTTACAAGTATTGCTATTTTTAGTTAACCTGTCACATATATGTAAGAGAGAGATAGGGTAGAATAGTGCTAATATTGAAGCTGACACAAATTATCAGTAGCTTAATTATCATTTAACAAAAGCCCAGGTAGCCCAGTCAGTCAATTTTCACTTAAGTGCATTTGGGTAAAATACTTTATATTAACAAACACCTAGCTCAAATGGGATGGTGTTCCAAAAGGTAATCCTAATTATTCAACATATTCACACTATACAAGGTGGAAAATGGGGGAAGGATAATCATACTTTGTTTTCCACTTCATTTTGTAAGCCTGCTTTGTGGCTGATTCAATCTATTGTATCAGTGGGAGGGACATGGGATAGATTAAAAAAATGTTGACTGTCAGATCACTGGGGGATTTGAATTAATGTTCTTTTGCACAGAGTGGAAGCATATGGGCCACAGAGTGCAGCTCTCCTTGGAAAATTACTGTCAAAATAGTACCATCTTTATTAACACAGCTGCTGACTTGTGAAGCAGAAATCAGATTTTAGTTGACTTAACCTTCAAAAGCAGTTTCAGAGTAACTGCTTACTAATAATCTCTGGCTACACCAACAATATTGTCTATTAATAGCTTATGTAAGTCACATCGGTACAATTCCACAAGTGCTGCCGTAGGTTGTAACACCCTACAGACCCCCTTATGATAATGTGAAGGGAGCAAAGTCATATTCATGCAGCCTGACAATTGCTGTCAAGATCCCATTTTCCTCCTGTAAAATGGGAAAGCACATTTGATCAAATGCCCTTCATATAAATAATGGGGGTTTCACAGTATGGGCTTACTGCTCAATTTGCCTGCATTTCAGTTGATTTCCAAGGCTGAAGTTCTGTCTTTATATATAATCAGATACAGACATTTCCTTTAGGTGCTTCTTCCATGAATGTTCTAGCTTGCTTCCCCATCAATTTCCATGGGAAGATAGGGAAGGATCTCTTACGTGTAATTTCTTTATGTGCAAGCTATGAAATTTATCTGAAGAGAACGTTAAAGTCCTAAAGTTAAGCTCTAAGAATAAAAGGCTGAAGATAAAGCTTTATCTACACATTAAGATCCTGATATGCAATCTTGTTTCTGCAGAAGCCCATACCTGTCTCAGCAGGTACCAGAAAGGAGAGTCATGAAGAATTTTCCTCAAAGTACTATTGACTTAAAGCATCAAAATTGACAAATTTTGATCTTCTTTGTATTTACCAGACTGATGAAAAAGAGACATACCAGGTGTTAAAAATGCATGCCACAATTGCGTGGATTTATTGCATCAATTTATTAATGTCTTTACAGAATGTAATAGAAAAACTCAAACAACAAAACAACGGTACTGCTTCAGTAAGAGAATTTTTCCTTTCTGATACTTTTACTAATACAAAACGTAGGTCTCTGACCTCATTCATCATGCATAAAGACTGAAGTAAGTCTCCTACACGACTCTGACTAGGGTAGATTGTTATAATGAAGAACATTGGGATACTGTTTGAATGTGCACCTTTAAATATATAATTAGTTGGTTCTTTAATGTGTCTGTCGCTCTCAAGATCCCTGCAGCATATGCTTTTACTTTCCATATACATAAAAATTTATGTAATTCAAGTTTTAGAGTCAGATTCTGAATTCTAAATAGAAGAAATGTCTAAGAAACCTCTTCTATAGAGGCTAGCTCTGAAAAATCATGTTATTCAAAGGTGTCTTGACTGGAACTTTTCTTTTGGCTTCTGTATGTGCAGGTAAATGATTAGGTTTGTGAGTATGGTGCACATAAACACACTCTTAAACCAGAAGGTTGCACGAGTGGTTGGGTTTCAGTCTGAGATAAGGATTTGTCCTAAATTCAGGGTAATCCTATTTCATAATGCTGCTATCAGTAGAACATGCATTCTGCAGCTGTCTTTGGCAAACATATGAAGAATATACTTTTTAGGTTCCCTGTGTTCACTGTGTATTTCTGCAGCCCTTTAAAAATACATCTCATTCTTCTTGGATGAAAAACGGCAACCATTTGCTCATAATTTACTGTCTTTTAACATTTGCTTTCTCTATAAAACCTTGGGAGAAGTGTTGGGAGTTTCCTCTTGCTGTTAAATATAAAAGCTTCACAGTGCCTTTGAAAATGATAACTGATGAGCTCAGCATGTAATTGCTGCCTTTACTATTTCAGGAATCAATACAATAGAAGTAACACACACACAGGGCAGTTACTTAATAAGGACAAAGTACATTGTGTCATAGATAGTAATTTAGCCTGCTCACACTAAAACTTAATGAAATATTTAATATTATATTTTTACTTGCCCTGTTATTTGAGTAATTGTATTTATACATTTAAAATCAAATAACTGCTAAATGCTGAGGCTGTGCCTGAAGTCACCTGTGCATCCAGTCGTGAGCCTTTGGACTATAGGCTACACTGTAAAAAGAAAAGCAAAAATGTTACTTTTGATTCTTCTTTTCACTTCCACTTCTTTCACTCCCTCAAAGTACACTTTGTACTTTGCACTTCAGAGCTGGTTTCAATGCATTGTGAAAAACTTGTGCAAATGAGATACATTTCACTGGGAACTTCAACCTTCTTTTTTTTTTTTTTTAAAAAGTCAGCATTACAGTTTGGCAACCCGTGGTAGGGAATCAATACTAGCATTCAGACACTTCAGTTCCTGATAACCAGAAGATAAATGGACATAAAATTATTAAGCAAAAGCAGCATCATCAAAAGCAATAAATATTCCATAGGAAACGAATTTGGTAAATTTTAAGAGAATTTAATCACCAAGACTTGTTCCAGGATTTTTTTTTTTTTTAAATTTTTTTTTTTTTTTTTTTTTTTTTTTTGGTACTTGACTACACTTATTTTGATTTAATGCTTTTTTCCAATGAGTAAAGTTATTTAATTCCATTTAACTATCTAAACTATCAAATACCTCTTCTTATTTGTCCCTTTCAGTTTATTCTCTTATCCAGCTTTTTTGAGTCACTTGAATTATTTCTAAATCCCAAAAATTTTTTGGTAATTTAGAAAACAACTGTAAAAAGAGGGACTCATCCTGGGTTATTAAAATGATGACTGTAAATCTAGGTTTGTATAAAAGCCTTTTTATAACTTGTTTATGCATGGCTTTCTCAAATCACTGCTGCAGGGCAGGTACTGACCTGCAAAGGGAAGGTTCCCTTCAATTCCCGTTGCTGCAGAATTTGCCTTCTGAAGGCCTCAGAATGATTTGGCTTATAATGCATCAAGAATGTATTTGTCATAGGGAAAAGTACTTCTTGCCTAAAAACCATTACAATTCAGTCAGGAACACATTGACTTAAGATGCCGTCTTTTGTAGTTAGAAATGCCTTTTGGCTTGCATTTTTTTTTGTTGACAACAGGAGGGGAAAAATAGGGGTGTAGAAAGGTCTGGAAACAGCATAAGCAGGTCTGATAAAGAGAAACAAAACATTGCTTTGGGGGAGGAAAACCTGCTTTTTGCAACAGAAAAATGTGTACCAGGCAACAGAAGAACAGTTGCAAAAGAAAATGAGCTATTCCCTTCACATCAGAATGGGGTGAACGGAGCTATCACCACAAGGTTTTCACTAACTAAAAGCTGAGGATAGAACTAAAAGCTGAGGCAAATATGAATATTCTTGTATTTGGCATATGCCTATTTAAATTAGATTTTGTTAAAAATTACATTGCCAGTTTCCACCTTTGTCAAGTGCTGCATACACCAGACCTCCTGTGGGATGCTCTTGAGGGTATTGACTCTGAAATGGCTCTGAACTCTCACTACCACCTGACACTTAATTCCATATCTTGTGTCTCATCTGGGAGTAAATGTGTTTTGACAGGTTGTAGAGCTTCCTGTTTCAAAACTTTCCTTTTCTTCTGACAACTGCTCCAATTCCTCAACTCCTTTCACTTTTTCATTTATTTTTTAGTAGTAGAGATACTGAACTACTGAGAAACTCATGTCTAATTACTGTTTTGGTATAAGCCCTACTGCTTTTGGGACACAGGTGCCATTCTGGCTGTACTTTGACTCTTAGCATTTTCCACTATTAACATCCACAGTAACTGTTAATGAACCACAGTTTAAGGCAGTGGTCTCTTTTCTAGATCATGGCAAAAAGAAACAAATATTTTTGTTTAATATGTCTCTGTGATCCATGACAGGTATATGGAAAAATCTTCCTCCATGGCAAGGGGAATAAATCTATTCAAAAATTCAAACAGTACTGAAAATGCAAAAATAAGTGAAAGGGTGGTATATCTGAATTCTAAAATAAAAGTCTCAAAGAGTTAATAACTTGTATGAAATAACCATTGTTTACTACTTCTCCAAATAAAGACCAGGTACAGGCCACAAACGCTGCATAGCTAAAACGTAACTGTGAAAACAAAAGAAAAAATAAATTCCAGTGTACATATTCAGTGATTGCCTTATATTCATTCATTATTAGCCCTTGTAAAACACCTCGCTGACTTAGTGGAATGTACAAAACTGTCAAACTCCAATATTCCTTTATAATTTATTGTCTTATTCTAGAAGAGGCCACAGTCCTCAACAAGCAAACTAATATTGAGAGTAAGAATAAGGGTGCCAGGGCTGCTCCATGAGAGAGTATGAGCAGGAACTGAGGGTGATTCCAGCACAGGCCATACTGTCACAGACCAAGCACAGTCACACTGTCTTTGGAGATGGCAGGTGAAAACAAGTCAGGGGAGATGGGTTAACAGAGTCCACTCACAGTCCCAGACACGGTAAAATGATGAACTGGTCCTGGATACTTCCACGGAGTCCAGTCAGCAGCAGCAGGACACAGGGCTTGGACACAGTGCTGGAGAGAAGGTTGCAACAGTTTCAAGATCCTCAGGGGAGACAGGTACACCGGCAGACACCGCTCAGGGCAGGACTGGGACTGCTCAGGGCAACTGAGGCCAATCAGTGCCCTCACCGCCCTGAAATATACCGTTTACATACAATGTATTTTAGTAACTGGCACATACATTTAGTTAAACGAAGTGCTGGTGGTATGTAATGACTTGTCAAGGACAGAAGGGCTGTTTCGGGATTTTGTTTTGTTTATTACCATTGTTTGAGTTTTTTTGTAACTTGTGCTACCTTTTGATAATGTGAAATAATCTGAACAATTATGAGGCTATTTATAAAAAGGAAAACCAAGCCTGCCAACCATATAAATAAAAAAGTGTTATATCCTTTGAACTCCAGAAAGTATGCAGGAGCAAGCCACAGGCCTTGTCCAAAAAACCATAGCAAGAGAAGCAACACACCACGACGCCAGGACATCTTAATACTAGGCATTACGAGGGGCAAAAGGCAGAGATACCAGACAAAATACTGGGATGTGCATACTTTGTTAAAACTGACAAAAATAGCGGTGTGTAGGAAACAGCAGAAGGCAAGGTCTCTGTAGAATGCTATGGACACAACCAGGAGCAAAAGCAGCTGGGGCAGGAAAGCTGCAAGCCCAAGGGCAAAACTCCATTTGCTCTCTGCTGTCAAGTACAACATGTAGAAATAGGGAGAGAAGTTATGACGGATATCCCTCCTGGTCACGTGGTAAAGGTAGGCATGCTCCAAAAACTCCCAGCCATAGAGGTGATAAAACGCAAGTGTCAAGGCAGCCAGCACTGATCCGGCAACCGTCCCAAAAAGCAGCACATCCCAGTTCAGCGTCTTTACAAACAGCCGCCAGATGTGCACCACAAACTTGGACCTTGCCTTTCTGTCACCCCCCGCATCCACCGCCCCGTCCCCGCTCCGCAGGTGGAGCGCGATGGGCAGCGCGTAGGTGAGGGGGTAGATTTTCATGTGCACGGCCAAGCCGTAGCACACCGCGGCCTTGCCCACGCTGCCCGCCTCCACCCAGTACAGCGTGGCGAGCACCAGCAGCGCCACCAGCGCCTCGGCGTTGCCCCGGGTGGACACGGCCATGGGCAGCGGGTTGAGGAGCCAGGCGGCGGCGCAGCACCCGCAGGCGCGCCCGGCCGCGGCCCCTCGGCGCCGCAGGGCCCGGTAGGCGACGGCGGCGGCCGCCAGGTCCCCCGCCACGAAGAGCAGCTTCCCGAAAGGCTCGGCGAGGAACACGTTGGGCGTCAGGAGCCAGGCGAGGAGCGGCGTGTAGCGGTAGGTGGCCCGCCCGTAGGGCGAGCGCCCCTCGCTCACCAGCCGCGCCGCGTCCGTGAACACCCGGTAGTCGACGTCGGTGTAGCGCACTCGCATGGCGCGGTCCTGCTGCAGCCCGAACAGCACCAGCGCCAGCCTCGCCAGCAGCCCCGCGGCCAGCGCCGCGCCAGCCCCCGCCATGCCTGCCCCGCGGGAGGGGGCGGGATGCGCGGACACCGCGCGGACCTCCCGCGATCCCGGGGCGCGGAGAGACCCCAGCTCAGAGCGCCTTCCGCCCGCCCGCCCACGCGTGGGGGAGAGAGGCGGCCCCGCGCCTGCGCCGTGCGCGGGCCGAAGCTGTGCCCGGGCCGGGGCGAGTCCCGCTCCGAGTGGCGCGGGGGTGGCCCGGCAGGGCCACGGGGGGTTCGCGGCCTCTGGTGGGGGCTGAGGCCCCGGGCACCCTGCGGCTCCCGGGCAGGGGGGCTGTGTGGTGCTGTGGCACGGCGGCGGTGCCCTGCTGTGGGCTGAGAGCCCGGCAAGGGGTGGGTACTGCTGCCTCCGCTGCCCCCTCACGCACCCGGGGCTGGGGAGCAATAAGTGGTTAAGTGTGCAATAAGTGGTTAAGTAAGAAGGAGAAGGAAAAAAAAAAAAAGAATTACATCCGTTGTTTGCCTTCTGCAAATGGCTGTGTTTTGGCCACACGTGTGAGCTCTTTCTGGGGCGCTTAGGTGAGCTTCCTTCCACGGCGGGTTTCTCGTTTAATTAGATCAGAAACAGTAACGTGAACACCAGAGCTTCTAAAGTCATTTACAACAGAAGGGATTAATTCCACACTATTGTGAGGGGCTATTTTGTATGTTCTTCAAATAGTTTTCCTGTCTGGATGTGTGCTATCTCACATTCTAATTGCGGCTGACTGAATAGCATGTGTTCATAACTTACCATTACTGTGGGTTTCATATTGGAACTAAATAGGGATTTTTTAAAAGACTCTTTATTAATAAAAAATATGCGTTTACTTGTAGTAATTTGCTACTGCATTTTTTTCACTCGGTGGTTTCATTTGGGAACATTTTGGAAGCTGCAGCATTGCTGGCTGTCATCGCTTACGGGAAAAAAATCTGCTTTTTCTTGGTTCTGGGGACACTCATAAGAGAAATGGGAACGGATTTTTTGCACTTGGCAGAAAAGTCTTGGAGGGTGTCCTAACTGGTAGGATATTCAGAGGGCAAAAGATATTTCTGTTTGCGTGCACAAAGCTATTCACTTTTATCTGTTCAGACTGTTTTACTGTGTATGATAGTACAATGGGGTATAGTCAAGGTATCTACTAGGAGAACCATAGTAATTAACTAACCTGGAGAATGAGTTTTGCCTCTGACCGATAGTTGCATATTTTATACTAAACTGGACATCTTCAGTAGGAAAGCTCAAGAGAATTCTCCATTAAGTTACCTTATAATATCGTTAAGTCCTAAAACGGATAGTTACAGTATTTTTGGGATATATATATATTTGTAAGGGTGGCTGTTGCTTCTTTGTAAATAAATGCTTACTCACTACTGCTGTTCTACTCTAGAACGGGAAAGATTGGTAACATAATTTTATTTTCATCTTTTATGTATCTTGTACTACAATGGCGGGGATACTTTTTAAATAGGTTACATCATGATATCTGTTGTTGTGCCTAAGATTTTTCTCTGAAAATGCTAGGAGATACTGAATAAAATCACAGGGACTGAAAACAGTTGATATTCCATGGCCAACAATATTTTTTGATGGAGAATGCAGGCAATGCAGGGAGAGACTGCCAGGAGAGGCAGAGGCCTGATCAAACCACAACAGATACTGAATAAAATCACAGGGACTGGAAACAGTTGATATTCCATGGAACAAGTCTAAGCAAAAGGATGTATGTAGATACTCATAAATTTTTTGTTTAGGGGTGGTCACTGTGCACAAAGAACTTGTTCTTGCCATCCTGCCTACTTTCTTCCAGGATTGTTTGCGGTTCTTCAATTGCCTCTTTGGATGGAATATATTTTATTATTTCAGCTCCTTTGAGAAAACTGTTTATGGTCAGATCAGAATGCATTAAAGTTTGTTTGCTGAAGTGTCTAAGTTTAATAATGGTGAAATAATACTAGTTTAATAAATAAACTTAGGAGTCTGCTGGTGTCTCATGGTTCTTTTGTCTGTTTCTGACAGTCTGCTTGAGACAAACCTTTTATCTGAAGTTAACAGAAGTTTTTAAGCTGTTAGTAGCGACTAACATCTGGAATCTAAGGAGAAATAAGTAGGTAATTTAATTCTGAAGGGTTGTGAAGTTAATAAAACAGCAAATCTACCTTAGCTATTGTTGCATATGCTGTATATGGCATTGATTTTCTTTATCAATAATTTAACATCTTCAAAGTAAGCTTGAAGTGCTTCAGAAAATTAAGGTTTGGCTCAAAAATGCATTTGGCTTCAGATTTGATACCAGCTTGCTTAATCTGATTTGTCGTGTACTGTAGACTTTAATGCAGGAAGGAGGCCAGTCTTATTAAAGTTATAAATCTGTTGTTCCTGTAAAAAGATGCTTTTATTTTATATGACCCACCAGGAGCCACTTTTAGAAAATGCTGGGAGATAAAACTAATAGAACTTCTGGGACTGAAGCTGATTTATTCTGGTGCACACTAAGATACAAACAGTATGAAGAAAAGTGTGGAGTCAGACATAACTATGCATAAAATATTAACTAAATAGGAATGCATATATGCATGTATATGCACATGTGTATGAAGGTTTTTTTGCCCATTATTTACCAGGCATTTTGTTTACATGGTCTCAAAGATGGTTCCAACTTACAAACTGTGCTTGTCTTGCATCCTTGTGACAGGGGATTATACGTCTCATCTCAAATATTAACTTCTCAAATATTGACCTCATCACTCTCTTCAACTACCTGAAGGGAGGTTATAGCCAGGTGGGGGTTGGTCTCTTCTCCCAGGCAACCGACAACAGGACAAGGGGACATGGGCTCAAGCTCTGCCAGGGGAGGTTTAGGTTAGATGTTAGGAAGAAATTCTTTACAGAGAGGGTAATCAAGCATTGGAACAGCCTACCCAGAGAGGTGGTGGATTCACCATCCCTGGAGGTTTTTAAGCAGAGATTGGATGTGGCCCTTAGTGCCATGATATAGTAATTGGAGTTGGATCAGGGGTTGGACTTGATGATCTTGGAGGTCTTTTCCAACCCAATCTATTCTATGATTCTATGATTCTATGATTCTCGCACCATCTTCTGGTTCTAGAGACTACTTCAGCAGCACTGGGACATATGTTCCAGAAACCACCTCACATGCCCTGTCATTACTTAAGATTTACACAGCTGTAGTAGCATCAAAAGAACAATGAATCTGGGGCCTTGTTATGCAAAGCACTCTAAGGCCTAATGGAAGTTTGAATCATCTGAAAACCAAGGTACAACTGGAGAGGGAGAAAGTGCCAAGCTGGTTCCTGGTCAGTCCGGAGCAGTCATCAGATTTCGTCACGTACCTACCTGTCAGGGGTTTACTATCCACATTATGGTAGAAAGTTGCCTTTTGAGGAGGGATAAGCTGAGGCTACCGTGAATTACAAAGGTGAAGGTATGGCTGAAAACTAGCTCTGATGGATACAGTAGGGCTAAATATTGGAGGGACTAACAGATTAAATTTGAGAACTTGGAGGAGAATAAGGAGGCTAGTGAAGGTTGACAGTGAAGTAGAAGATGATTCTGGCAGCAGTGCTTTGAAGTAACACAAGGGAGAGGTGGTGATTGGTAGCAGTGCAAGGAAAGAAAGAACAGGTGTTGGGTTGCAGTGGTGAGACCCCTACTAAGATTCAGGTAGCCTGGGAGGCTAAACGAGATTAAATGTCTGAAAAGAAAGAGTAGTAAGAGGCTTCACAGGAGGAAGGCAGTTGGAGGTGATGCATTTTATGTACTGTATTTTAGGTCATTCTACCAATATCTCGGGATGAGGCCCTTCTCATGCAAATCTCTTCTATCCTAATTGTTAATGGCTAGCTGTACTTTGCGATTTTGCTGTTATGAGATTAAGTTTGATTAGTACATTTTTCTATAAGTTGACTTATTGTGTGCTGTGACCTAAGTCTATATGTGTAAAAGGTGGTAGGAAAGCTGAGTATTTAAAGTAGCAAGGAAGACACTGGACAAATAGCTGGTATTTGGTCTTCAGACTTCTGAAAGGGGAGACTGCCGAGCTGTAATTTATTAAAATTCCCTTTAATTTTCTTGGATTTTGAGCCCAGAATGTTTCCTTACATGAGAAATACTCCTGCTTAACATATTTATAAACTGACAGAAAATTTTTGATGATATGAAAAGTACAATCTGTTTCTTGCAGCAGACGAAATTCTGTAGAAAAAGTGACTAACACTTGTGTTAGATATTTTAGTCTTGATAAATTGTTTTTGCAAATATGATTGATGCCTTTCAAATATTTGTAGTGTGTTGAATTTAGGATATTATTAGCAGAAGAGAAGTATAGTTAAGATTATGTAAGGAAGTGTTCATTTCTGCTTAAATACCGAAATGAGCAATACAGGAGGGTTTTATTTTGCAAAAATAAGATGAAAAAACACGTTATAACTCTTCACAGAAGAAAAATTACAGTTATAAATATAAGCTTTTTCTGTTAATGTGTTTTCTTAAAACTGCTTGATAAATCTATACCCTTATTCACACATTGTGCTATAAATGTGGCTATTTGGAGAATGTGATCTGAGTTGTAAAGGAATCTTTTTTTCCACCACATCGTGATTTTGCACAATGTGCTTTAAAGTGGTGTTGGCAGAGTTCTGCTTGTGATGGTTATGTTGACTGTATGTCAGTCTATTGGGTAAGGTTCTAGCCCTTCAGGGAAAGTAGTTGTTGGATAAAAATTAGTCTGTAGAGAAACTTGTTAAAAGTCGCTGTCAAAAAGATAAGAAAGTATTACATCTGAGATAATATTTGTGGCAGCAAAAATAAGTCCACTGAAGTAAGATGCTGGCCTAGGGGGGGGATTCAAAAAAATATGGCCTGTTTTGCTTTAAAGCTGTGGTGAATCTGAAGTGTGATATGGTAAAAAGTTACCTGCATCTATCTGGGCAGTGTCCAGCTCTCTCGCTGCCTGACTTGAAATACCAAACAGAAATGTTTTCTCCCTTTTGACACTACTGCTGTATCTCTAGCTAATGGTGGAGGCAGCCCAGTG